CGCTGGAGCTGTGGGACTCCTGCGGAGGACCACACTACTTGGCAGTGGCTTTCACTGAAGTGGCATCAGTGCATCTGATTCTTCTGAAGCCTGAGGTGCACATGGGCCAGCAGAATCCTCTGCGTTCAGATAATTCCCTGGGAGACCTTTAATGTGTCTTTGCGTTTGCAGCTCACCTTGCGTATAGTGACCTATTCTGGTTAGTCGCATACACTACAACCGAAAGCTAGTGTTTGTATAGAATCTGTACCTAAAAGAGGTGTGTTTTTTGGTATGGTTGTGAGGAACATGCTGTCCTGAGAGGCATCCGTCTTTGGGGGGGTAAAATTATAAAAGATTGCAATAGCAGAAATGGACGTGGGTTCAGCATTTTTCAGTGCTGCAGGTACAAAAAGGCACCATGTGGTGTCTTATTTTCAGTTGTTTCTTTCCAGGTGCTAGTAAAACTTTGGATGTTCTTTTTAATAGTACAGCAGAACAAGGGAGCATGTGGCAGGTTATTGTGGCACCTGGAGTTTTACTTGACCAGTCAGTACACACTTGTCCTTATAGAACTATCCTTACTCCTTCATACATTTCAGTTTCTCTGGAATCACCTTTCTCTCCGTGGCTTGGGAAGGTCATTGTAAAGAGTTTGGAAGTCCTTTATATTCCATGCAGAATGCCTGGAAGTGTTAATGCAGCTCTTTGTGAATGTAGGTATTAACTGAGTGGATTCAGAGGAGGCTTTGACAAGTACAAGGTATTTTTCTTGTGCTACATTGTGTTAAAAACATTCTAGTCTGAATATGCTTTGAACCAGTAAAGGTGATACAGTAGCTTATCCTCATGGTTGGTTGGTGTCTGGTGCTTCAGGTATTGATAAGGATGATACTTGTAAGATTTTGTGAAAAAACATGGTTTTGGTGTAGATGTTTTAGTCCTGTCCTTTAAAACTTGTTATAGTTCAAAGAATCCAATGAAAATACATTAATCTCACAAACTAGTTAGGGAGCTTCTGTAGCTTGCTAGAGACACAGATTCAGTCCTGTCTTCTTAAATGAAGAAAACATTATTCTTTGATATTTTATGAAATGTAAGTATGTGACAGTTTTAGACAATGCTGTCTATTTTTTGTTGCTTTTAAGACACAAGATGTTATTCAGTTTCTTTTGTTTTTCCCATTAGATTCTTGATGGTTCTTAAGCCATTTCTGTATTTGTTATTGAAATCAGTAGTTTTTAATTAAAAGCATAGTGGTCATTTATCATGAAAAACAGAAAGAAATCATTAATTTAAAAAATTATAGAAGTAAATACTCTTGACTTGGCAAACATGAAATATATAGCAAGATTTCCCTGTAGAAGAGGCAGCTGTTAAGTTTATAGTCCATGTGGAGAAACATCAGCTTGCACTTTTAAGTCCATTTCATGAAGACCAATATGGTCTTATTTGTAGGTGAGTTAAAGGTTACTGAAACTGAAAGCTGTGTGCAGTTCCCAAGACGCTAAGCACAAGAGCCACTTCCGCTGGCATTCAGTTCAGCATATGAGTGAGCACAGTGCTCAACTGGGCTCTGATGTCATCCCTGTGTGCTGCAGGACTCCCTTCATGTTACTCAGGAAAGAAGGAGCTTAACAGACCTGGAGCTGTAATAGAAATTAAAACCAACCAATAAATTTTATCTTAAATGTATTTATTCAGCCATTACTTGACAGTTGAAAACAAATGTTGGGGTTTTTTTTCACTACAAAGTGTATTTGCTTCTTCAGGAGTCTGGGGATATTGGCAGGACGTGGGTCAGAGAGACGTGCTCATATTGCAGTGTCAGTTACTCCCAGTTCATCAAATCACACTCTGTAAATAAACATTTCAGCTGGACTAGTTGCTTCTGAGTAGTCTGGAGCCTGTAGATTTCTAGTGCCCAGGGTGAATGTGTACAACAATGTTTTAACATTTTGGGGAGATTAAGTTCATTCTTGAATTAAAATCTGTCGTAACTAACAGGAGATAGAAGACAAGCTACACTAACCAAGTCTGAGCACAAATGTCATGTCCCAGGCTGTCCCTTTTACACTTGTTTTTACTGGAATGTATAGGAGGTATTTGCTAGGGAATGCTAAAGTTGGAGAGAAGATTCTGGTCCTGTAGGAGGGAGCTGAGCAGTGTTACACACTTAGGAGGAATGTTAACATCATTTCATGCTGCCAAAAGAGGGTTTGGTCCTGCTAAAAGGATAGAAAGACAATTCCTGGTTGTCTTTATGATATTGATTTGCTTCTGTATCTGAGCCATTTGGTTTTGATAAATAGTGTAATTTTGATGGTTTTCTAAGCATTAATTTATTTGCTTTATGTAGAGAGTAATAAGCTGAGTAACAAGCAGGTAAGAGGTGTTTTCCTGAGAGTTTAACAGGATAAGCTCTGAGGGTCGATGCAGTTGTCTTTGATGAAGGAGCTGCAAAGAACATAGGCAACAATATTGATATGTAAGTGAAGATAAAGCAGAAATATGAGAGGTGATTCTCCCCCTCTACTCTGCTCTGGTGAGACCCACCTGGTCAGTTTCTTCATATTGAAAATACAATATGGTATTTAATGTACCAGTGACATTTCTCATTATCGTAAGAAAAAAGCCTCCTTTTCTTTGTGACTGAACTCTTGCAAATCCTTGGGAAGTTGGTACTCTGTAGGTGTCTCCATTTGGGTCTTGCTGTTGGTTGGTTGTGTGGTTCTGTGACAGTCGCTGGTGTTTCAGAAAGATGATGAGTTGGTTTGCTTAAAGCTGGACTTAGTTTTAAAACAGTTACCATCTCTTTCTTAGCTTACTAGGTAGTGAATCCATACCTTGTTAAACGTCACGGTAAGCTTTCTGCACTTGGGTTTTTCTGGCTATTTAGGTCCTCTTCTTTCAGGTAGGTATTTGTTCTGAATGAGGACCATGTTTGATGACTGTAAAAGGCTGATTCCTGTTTAATGGATTCTTCAACTCTTACCTTAGACAGTAGGGTTTCCCCTCCCCCAGGCTGTCTTCAAAATACAGTGAGCGTGAAACTTTGGAATGCTCTGGCTGATTAGCTGACTCCTGTGAAACTCTGAATTGCTGCTTTCTACTGATTGCATTACATCATTATAAAGATATTGCAAAACCTAATGGGAGTATTCTAAAACTTAACAAACTATACCTAAATAATGCTCTCTTTTCTCTCTCTACAGGCTCATAAGTCAGTGAACTTTGTTTCAACTCTGCTTCAGATCACTATGTCTGAGCAGCTGGATTTACCAGTGAGACAGGCAGGCAAGTTCTCAAGTATTTTTTCATTGTATCTACCTTACTGGTGCATACACTCAGGTACACATGCAGATGTTTATAAAGAGTTCTAGTTAGTAGGTTTAATCTCAAATCTTCAAAAGCTGAGGGGTGCTTGAACTACAGTCACCACAAACTGTTATCTGGCATCAACACTGAACAGGGAAGACAGAAAGGAAAGGTGTCTGACTCTCGAGTGGTTGTTCCCCTTTGTCTCCAGTGAACAGTGGTTTTGAGGGGAACAGAGTGGTTTATGATGCTGGTACACTTGGTCTAAGGAGGTAATTTAACCTTGCACTGATAGCACTAAGATGTCTAAACATACTAAGTTGAAGAAAACAAATTATATCTTTTGGAACCCTCCTTATGTGCCATTAGTGAAACTGAATGTTGAATATTGACAATCCCAAGCATCACCTTAAAGCTGCTATAATTACTTGATAGAGGTTTTTAATATGATACTATAGTGGTTTTTCAGATGGGTCAGGAAGTGTGATCTTGCTTGCTCGTTTGGAACTTCTGTGTAGTAGACTACTCTTACGTCGTAGCATAACTTAACTTGTGGTTTTTTATCATAGTGCTTAATGGGATGTTGTACCATTCAGATGATGCTCAGAAAAGTTACTGCTTAACATGCATTAAAAAGGGCAGGTTTGCAAACAGCTTTTGAAATTTCCCCCTCCTCCATGTCAGCCAATTAAAATCCAGACCACTCTGTGGAGAGTGAGGATGTACAACACGCAGCTCACGAACAGTGTGTTTGCAAAGCAGTTAAAGGCATGATAAGTCCCACTGAGGGCAGGTTGAAGTCTGCATCACTTTAGTCTTGTAGTAGCACATATATGCTGAGTGATTCTTAACCTCTGCAGACACTCTCAGAAAACCTTTGGTCTCTGAATCTTCAGAAGGTGCATATGAAATTTAGGAAGAGAAGTTGCTTTCTGGATTTTTGTGTAGAATCAGATTAATAGTAACTCTGTTCTTAGTTTGCCGTTTTGAGATTTCCTGTTGCGTTCCGTCAGTACTTTTCTAGGTGCTGTAATTTATATTCTGCCACATAAACAGTTTGGGTTTGGTTGTCCAGTGGTACATGCAGACATTTGTGCCAGCAGCCTGGTTGCTGTAATTTGCTGTGGCCCATAGCCTTGGTATAAAGGAGCTCTGTTGTCCTTTAGCATTCACTCCTGTATCACAAACTTTATTAGATTTCTTTTGCTTACAAGGGTTGTTTTAGGTAGTCGCTAGTATTGATTAGCTTTGTTTTAATGAAAATACTGAGAAAATGATTACGAAGTATTTTTCAGAAGTATGTTGCTAAAATATTCCACAACTATTTATCTGTATCACAGATAAAAGCAATACATTTAGCATTTTTATAGGAAAACACATTCTTTACAGAACTAAAAATACAGACATCACAATAAGTGGGTAAAAAAACTATCAGCCTCGTAAATTATTAGGTTCATAATTTGAATGGTTTATGTATTTTGATTCTCCTACTCAGAAATAGCCAATGATTTAGTAATTTCCCTCAGTTCTGCTCTAGAAAAGATTTGTTTGCAAGATGTGTGTTTGTTTTGTACTTTGAATGGCTCTCAGCTGATTTGCCACTTGTGTCTCACAGGGGTTATCTACTTGAAAAATATGATAACCCAGTACTGGCCGGACCGTGAAACCGCTCCAGGAGAGATTCCACCTTACTCCATCCCAGAAGAAGACAGACACTGTATCCGTGAGAATATTGTAGAAGCCATTATTCACTCTCCTGAGCTGATCAGGTGAGCAGTTTTAGCCTCTTTATTAATGGCCTGTGGTTTCTGACTGTTTCTTGCTTTTTCTTTCTTGTTTGTTTATTTTTCCACAACTAAGATCACCCACTTGCTAAGCATCATTGTCACACACTGTATCCTAAGCATAGAATTAATGTAGGTGGAAAAACAGTTTTCAGCTTGCATAGCATGTAGAAATTTAGGGTTCCTCAAATGGAGAGTATTAAGCAGAAAGTACAGAACCTAAACCTTCTAAACAAAACTTGAAGTAAGTCTACGCATGGGCAATATTTGCTGTTTCACCACTCCAGGAATACGATTAAAATAACAGTAGTAACTTATTGAATCATTGTGCCTTTGGTTTCTAGAGTACAGCTTACTACTTGCATTCACCACATCATCAAGCATGACTATCCTAGTCGCTGGACTGCAGTTGTGGAGAAGATTGGTTTCTACCTCCAGTCTGACAACAGTGCTTGTTGGCTTGGAATTCTTCTTTGTCTTTATCAGCTTGTGAAAAACTATGAGTAAGTTCCTTCTGCCATATAAGGCAGCAGAATTAATATACTGGTGTGTATTTTCTGTGTCCTCCGAGTATATTGTAAATATACACGTGTGTACTGTGAAATGTCTGTGGGACTGCACAAAGGTGATTGTAAGTTTAGAAAATACTCCTGTGTACTTGCTGTGCAGATGTTGCCTCATGGATCTTTTCCACTGAAAATTAGAGAACAACTGCCTTCGTTAAAGGTTTGACATCTGAACAAAACCCCACCTTAATCAGTTGGTTTTTATGGGCTGATAGCAGTGAGAAAGCACTCAGAATCATTACTTTTGCCAAAAATGTTTATTTAAACCAGGTTTAAACTCTTACACAGGTTTTACTCTGGTACTCGGTGACAGTAAACATAAAGGTTTCAAGGCATGAAATCCTGAATGTTAGGAAGCTCAGAATTAGTTGAGTGACTTTGGTATGATCATTTTGATAGCCTCATCTAACCCATCAGAAAATCTTTACCAAAGCCCACTGTTCTCTGTAGGCAGGGCATCGGGCTGGAACACCGGTCAGTGTTCTTTGCTCTGGATCTGATGTTCTGCTCAGAGCTGTAAAGTTGAGGTTGCAATTTGAAAAGCTGTGTGGAGCTTGGCTGCAGCTGCTGACAGGTAGGAAGCTCATTTGAGCTGCATCAGAGAAAAATACAGTCCTGGAGTCAGGGAATTGTAATGGGGCTGATGGAATGTACAACGTGTAGTGTATCAAATCTCTGGCATGCATAACGTTTCTCTTTCAGGGACTTGATTTAAAGTGTTGCATTGAATAAATTTCCTGTCCAATTCTGCTAATTTTACATAGGTTAGTGTGAAACAGGTGATTGTTAGTTCCTCAAAAATACTTATTTACAAGAATGCTATAAAGACCTTTGTAATCCTATGTGGGAGTTTCTTGGTGCTGAAAATTGAAAGTCCTGCTAGGAAAGGAAAACAAACTAATTTCTCATTTGATATTCAGTTTAAACATCTAACCAAATGTGCTCCAGAGATCCGTGAGGTACAAAGCATGAAGTGTCCACTGGCAGTGTATTACAGGGGTAGCAATCTCTGTTCAGGGAGGAGTTCTGCTCTGAGCACAGTCATTGTGTGATTGACCAAAGTAACTGGTGTGTCTGTAGCACTGGCTGATGGAACACTTGGGCTGAGGGCAGGAGCTGCTGCTCCTGCTTAGCTTTCTGGTGAACTCAGCACGGGTCAGTCTCACAGACCGTAGGGGTGCAGGCAGGTCTCTGCAAAGTGTGCTGAATTGCTTCTGTTGGTTTGGGGAGGTTTGAGTCGGTGTGATGTTAAGACTTCGAGTTTTACTGCTTGGGTTGTAGGAATATTTAGCTATTGAGTATTGTTGTTCTTAATGTGGAATGTATCTTGGGGCTTTTTACCTTTTTTTCCTTCTACCAGCAAGACCAAATGGCTTCTCTTTGCATAGTCATTTTTCTGCTCTTCTGTGGAAATTAGAAACTTGAGTTTTTCTGAGCAACATTGAATCTTTGTATTCAGTTTTCTATTTCAGAATATGTGTGGAAACTGTATTATTGGACAGGATTTTGGGGCTCAGTATCAGTGAAGCAATCTAGCCTTCTGCAAGCGATTTGATAAATTGTGAACTCTGATAAATGTTTCTCACATTTTACTGAGCAGCAGCTGTAGGACTCTGGCTATAGCTTATTTCATGTTCTGCAACAAGGAATGGCTAGGGTTTGTTTTGTTTTAAATCCTATGTTGTTCATTCAGAACAAACCAAATAACCTACTTGTGTCTACACTGGGCAAAAGTGGAGTCTTGAAATGTAAAAACTGTCTGAAAGATCTCCAAAACAACTTTGTTCTTATCCTCAGATACAAGAAACCAGAGGAGCGAAGTCCTTTGATAGCTGCAATGCAACATTTTCTGCCAGTTCTGAAGGATAGATTCATTCAGCTCTTGAATGATCCATCAGATCAGTCTGTACTCATCCAGAAACAGATCTTCAAAATATTTTATGCACTTGTCCAGGTAACAAATACACTTTGTATATGCTTGATCGGTGATTTAATTTAAACCATTATGCTTTCCTTAAAATAGTAAATGACAGAAATACTAACAGTATTAGATTGCATCTGAATCATTTTCCCCGCTACTCAGCTCAGTGAATCACAAATTTTCTGTAGCCTCTGTTCTCTTGTACTTTTACTTTTGTACAGTGCTATTCCTGGTTGGCATTTGATAGAACTGGCACGTGCCATGCTCTGAGGTGGTGTTTGCTGGAAAACCAGTCAGAAAATCAGTTTTCTAAGGACAGATTGTGGAGGGCAGCCCACATGGAATTACCACTTTGGAATGGAGCTGTTTAACGTGTTGTTCAGTGCTTCAGAAGTTAGTGTCACATCCATTTCAGCATCGGGTTAGCATTACATGAGCAGAAGAAATTGCAGGGAAGACCTCTTGCACCTCTCTGGGTTTTTAGGATATAGACTAGGTTGTGTTAGGTTCCTCAGCCTGGTTTTCCAGGAATTTGCTGGTCTTTCATGGTAGCTAGGTATAGGCCAAGGTTTGAAAGCTGAAATTCGAACTGTGAAAGTAACATAAATCTACTATAAAGCAACTTGAACATAATTTTCCCTTTTTATTTTTATTAAGTACACATTACCTTTGGAGTTGATAAATCAGCAAAACCTGACTGAGTGGATAGAAATCCTGAAGACTGTTGTCGATAGGGATGTACCAGCTGTAAGTGGCTTTTGGCTATTTGTCTTTCAGCTTAAATATTTTTCACTTGCTAGAATGTTAAAAAGTTTAGCTTTTTATTTCTGCATGCTTTTTTCTCTACTGATGCCAAGAGAATAAATGAGAAAAAGTTAATCTAAATGGGATGTTTTAAACAGACCAAATAAACTGTGAAAATATGTAGCCTGTATGGGAGTTCTGTTTTCACATTATAGCACAGCTTAACTCTGGCTTGTTTTGAAAGTGTGTTGACCGTTTATGCAGCTTATATCATGGGATTTGCTCCTAGATATGCTGTACTTTATACTTCTCTGTTAAGCTAGAAGTGCAAATGGCAGGTTAAAAGCAAACTATAATTACATAGTTGTTCTAATTAGATATAATTTGAACTCCTTGTGAAGAGTTGGTAAATAAATTTTATTTTTTTTGTAAAGGAAACCCTTCAGGTTGATGAAGATGATAGACCTGAGTTGCCTTGGTGGAAATGCAAGAAGTGGGCTTTGCATATCTTAGCTAGGCTTTTTGAGAGGTATTGTCTCTTCCATTATTCTTTAAAAAAAAAAGCCCAAACAAGTATTCAAGTCAGGAATATTGCTGCACCCTTGAGTTTACATACTTCTAATTCTAGGTATGGAAGCCCTGGGAACGTTTCCAAGGAGTACAACGAGTTTGCTGAAGTGTTCCTGAAGGCCTTCGCTGTTGGTGTTCCGGTAAGAAACACTGAATGTGAGGGTCTTACGATAAGTCTAGAATCAGCAGGGATTTCTGATTTCATGATTTTCTGAAAAGGCTTCTTGTTCTTGGTGTGGAAAGCTCTGATGTCTGTGGGTTAAAAGAAGAGGATGATTAAAGATAGTACCAATTTGCCACATAGGACAGTCTGCTCTCCACTAACAAGCCCTCAGATGAGCTTCAGATAAATGTGACCAATTTTTTCCTTTCTGAAAGAGAAGGGTATATTATTTATGTGGTAGGGCCAGGAGTTGGACTAGATGATCCTCAAGGGTCCCTTCCAACTCTGACTATTCTGTGAGCTCAGGAGAGGAAAGCCAAGTGGAGAGGTGATTGATCATTCTTCACAGTGTCCTTGCTGGGAAGTTACACCTAGGCAAGAATCAGTAGAGCACATGAGTCTAGAGTATTTTAGCAATCCAGTGTCTGGGTGTGAATTTCTGCCCCCAGAGAGTGACAGGATGAAATAATAACCCTCAGAGGGAAAGGCCCCCTGGAGTATGTTGACGATGAATTTGTGTGTGTGGTTTATCTTATTAAAGGATTGTGATTTTAAAAGAGTTGCAGCACCTGATGTGAGCTGCAAATTGCCTTATAAAAGTAAGAATGAACATTTGGTGGAAGGATTAGTCAGTACCCATTTTAGTCTAATGAATAAACGGGGTGGGGGGTTCTTATGTAGGCTTGTGAGGGAAGGTAGAGTTCTGGTTAAAATGGTCTGTTCTGCGCAGTGATGACAGCTGATTTTTCTAGGTGTTGCTGAAGGTGCTGTATCAATACAAGGAGAAGCAGTACATGGCTCCGAGAGTTCTGCAGCAGACACTGAATTACATCAATCAAGGAGTGTCACATGCAGTCACCTGGAAGAATCTGAAACCTCATATTCAAGTAAACCATTTTGGGGGTTTAATACTCAGATGACTCAGTAGTACAGTGGTCAGTCCTTTGTACAGCGTTTCTAGCCTCGCCAGAGTTCACATTGTGGGGATTTCTGTACAGTGCTGGTGGAAAGAGTTTAAGCCTGTTTGGTAACGGTTTCCTTGATAAAATGAGCAGAGCCAGCTCGTTGGGGGTTTTTTGCTGTGCATCCTTAGTGCTTTGGTATATTAAGGATTGCAGTGTAACACACAGCAACACATCGAACGGGGAGATGGTGTTAGCTACTGAACTTAGGGCATTGAGTCATCTCCACATTCCATTATCCAAGGCAGTCTGATGTTCTGTGCTGTACTGTAGCTCTGCCTAAAGATGAGAGATCTGCATGTCTGTAAGGCACCACATGAAATCCACTATGTCCAAATAGTTTTAGAATGTTACCATTTATGTGAGGAAGTGACTGGAAGGACAAGATCTGTGAAATACAGGACAGTATTCAGTACATTAGGATCACGAACTGCAGTAAAGACCAACATTTGTAACAGGCTGAGTTAGTAGTGCTAACCTGTTCTCAATCTCTGTTTTGTTTCAGGGAATTATCCAGGATGTTATTTTTCCATTGATGTGCTATACAGATGCTGATGAAGAACTTTGGCAAGAAGATCCTTATGAATATATTCGCATGAAATTTGGTGAGAATTTGAAATCTACTTATGTTAAAACATGACTTCACACAAAGATGAGAGTTTGATAGGGGTTTTTTATGCAAACGGTAATCTTTAAAAGAAGTGTTAAAAAGACAAAAGCAGTGTATTAACCCAGTAATAGAGCTTCGTATAGTTCACGTGGATCTGTATTGCTGGAAATGAGAAGTAGGATGTGACAGTCAGTGATGACACAGAAGTTTCTGTACTTGTAATAGTACTTAATGTTTGCAGAGTTTTTGTTACAAGTCAAACAATAGCTACGTGAGTTTAATGTTACTAACAGGTTATGCTTTACAACAGCTAATATTTCAGGCCCTGGATTTCTTGTGGAGTTTCACACAGGCAGGAGGGCACAGTCAGCCACCTGAAAGAAAAATGAATGCTTTTGTTTCATACTCAGTACATTAGGATCACGAACTGCAGTAAAGACCAACATTTATAACTGTTGCATGTTTACTTAATAGATGTATTTGAAGACTTCATTTCTCCAACAACTGCTGCTCAGACATTGTTGTTTACCTCGTGTAGTAAAAGGAAAGAGGTAAGCTGTTCCAGCATTGAACTGCAATGCAGCCCTACCTAGGTTAGTTTACCTGCTGAAAGAGCTGTTAATAAAAGTTTTACTTTTCTGCTCTCATGTCACAGAGCACTGAAATTTAAAATTTTGAATTTATTTTGCACTTGTCTATTTGTGATTTTTGCATTTGCCAATTCCCCTGGGACCTATCTGTCAGGAACATTGTCTGTTTATAGCAAAGGCTATAAACATTGCCCAAATTCCAGACTTGGAGCAGATTAGTTAGTTAGCCGTTCCAGAGCACCGAGAATGGTGCCTGGGACGATTGGCTGGAGCACTTTGACTAACCTTACATGTAATGCAGGTGTTGCAGAAGACAATGGGCTTTTGTTATCAAATCCTTACGGAGCCCAACGCTGACCCGCGTAAGAAAGATGGTGCTTTACACATGATTGGTTCCTTGGCTGAGATTCTCCTAAAAGTAAGCAAAACAAGTCTGGTGGTTCTCATAGTGCTTTTTTTTTTTCCCCCTCCTGTCCTTTCTTTCACATTCAGTGTCTTAGGAGAAATGCAAATAGCTCTTTGAGTTCACAGGTTTCTGAATTGTTGCCAGGTTTGTTTTAGGATGTTGTGTTTAATTGTTTTGGGTCTGTTTTCAGCATAATTACTCGAATTTTATAGGTCATGTTCAAGTTCCTTTAAGTTCTGTACTTCTATTAAGGATTGCTAAACCATGTTTTGCCCTACCCTTAACTACATTCCCGTGTTTCGTGGAAGGAGGGAAAAAATGCATCCAGTGAAAGGCTTTTGATTTAATGAACTCTCTTCTGTGTACATAAAGGAGGAAATAAAGTGAAATTAGCAACCTTGTTCAGTTAGAATGGTAACAGAAAAGATGCAGGGCATGGGCTTGTATTTGGTCCACAGCTCAAAGAAGTTTCCCCAACCACTTTTGGTTTTGATGCCAGAGTCATGTGCTGCCAATTAAAAGGTGTCTCTAGGGGTCAAAAAATGGCAGAGGAAAATAGTGTCACTATTTTGACTGGAAATTGTAAAAATCTGTGTAGGATCCAAGTTTAGTTACTAATACAGGATTTCATTGTTGCATGACTGACTTTACTAAAGGGATAAGTCTGAGGGGCTTGTTACACTGTTCACACCTTATCATACCTGACTTCTTTTTCTACTGGGTCAGAAATAATTTTATATAAGTTTTAAACTGATGTGCTCCTATTCCTATTTTGACAGAAAAAAATCTATAAAGATCAGATGGAATATATGTTGCAGAATCACGTGTTCCCTCTCTTCAGCAGTGAGCTGGGTTACATGAGAGCACGGGTAAGGAAGGGTAACAGGTACTGTTAAGATACATTGTCTGTTCAAACTGAGGAATTCAGGAATCTAACTTTTCCTCTCCTTCCTGCATGTTGTCTGTAAAAATTGTCCACTTATTAAAAGATGAGCGTCAGTCTTTGTGTGACTACAGATAGCGACTGTGTGTTGTCAAATGGCTGCAGCACTGTGTGCACAGCTGCCCATCTGTGTCTGGTGGTGTGGTCTGCTTGTGTTCTGCATGTGGACCACACTGCTCACGCAAAACCTGTGGCCAAAGAGCAACCGGAGATCATAGTACTGGTCCAGTGACGTCTGAAGGACGAGCCTCCCACTGACCAGCCTCCACACTCTCAAACATCTCCAGCCCTGGAAACCTTCATTCAGCAGTACCTGTTCTTCAGATCCAGTGATTTCTATAGGTTATGGACATAGAAGTGGTTGATAATCTTGTTTGTAGGTTTTGCAGCTCTGAACTTGTTCAATGTCTTTTTTTCAGGCTTGTTGGGTTCTTCATTATTTTTGTGAAGTCAAATTCAAGAGTGACCAGAACCTCCAGACAGCCTTAGAACTCACAAGACGGTGTCTGATAGATGATAGGGAAATGCCTGTGAAAGTGGAAGCTGCAATAGCTCTTCAAGTTCTGATCAGTAATCAAGAGAAAGGTATCCGGCCCTCTTCCTCACAGCTGTGCAGGCTCTAGTGGGATGGGTGTGAACATTGCCATGTTCAGGCAGACTTGCTCTCTTCTTTCCTGCTGTTAATTTACTGCTTGTAATTGTAATTTGTAATCGCTTAAAGTATAAAATCAGAAATTACACTCTAAGACATGAAAATCATGGTAACGTTGTAGACATTGCTGGTGCAGTAAATGCAGTTGAGCAGCCCCAGCGAGCGGGTCGGAAAGCTGTGGCAGTGTCAGCACGCCTGTCTCCTTGGGAAATGAGCTGTCTTCATGCTGGCACCTGAGCTGGCTCAGCACTGCTGCAGCTGCACCAGGGCCACACAGCACACAGGGCCTGTGCGAGCACCTCAGGTCGTTGGACGACTGTGGGGATGGACCCACTGCTGCTCACTGCAAGGACTGCAGCTCTCTAGTTTTGTACTCCAGTTTTGATCCTCTTGGTATGCTTTTTTCATTGAAAATTGTTCTGAGTGGTGGTATTGCTGCAGTGATTGATACTGCCCATGGGTTTGGCATATTAATGCTGAAGCACTGAATACTAATAAGGTGCATATTGAATTTCTTGCACTGATCTGTGGTTCTCTAAGAATGTTAATTCAAACATTTCCACTTGTTTTACAGCCAAGGAATACATTACTCCGTTCATTAGACCTGTCATGCAAGCTCTGCTGCATATCATAAGAGAGACTGAAAATGACGATCTTACTAATGTGATTCAGAAGATGATCTGTGAATACAGCGAAGAAGTTACCCCGATTGCAGTAGAAATGACACAGCATTTGGTGAGACTTTCTGGTGACTTGGGAAGATGCTTAATATGTGAAAGATTGGGACTTAAAATTCATAGCTGACCCTCAGTGAATAGCTGCTGTTACCCCAGTCTGCTTAAGTGCACTGATGCAAGTCATTTTCTTTAACATTTAGACAGTTTTTCCTCAAAAGTGGCTTCATAACTTAAACCAAATGGAAATTTCTAAGAAAGATACTAGAAATGTTTGAGAAATCTTTGTACATGTTTTTTCCTCACAGTGTTAAATACTGAAATTGGGAGTACATTTTAGGTAGTCTCCAAAATGTAATTAGGTTTTCTGCTTTAAAATAAGAAATCAAAGGGCAGAGTTTGAATGAAAAATTTGTGGTGAAAATAATGTGATGTGATGTCTGTAATGTGAAAGTAAAATCAAATCTGTAGGAGAAATTCAGAGCTTGAATGGCTTGAATAGCAAGTGGCAGGAGTGGTTCCAAGAGCAGAGGTCAAAGCCCTTTGCCTCGGAGTTGAAATGGAGTTGTTCGCATGTCCTCTCTGGCAATGCCAGACCAAGAAGGGCAAAGGTGGAGACTGGGAGGATGAAACTCCTAAACCCACTGTAGGAGAGGGTCAGGTTTGAGACCATCTCAGGAACTTGAATGTCCAAAAGTCCATGAGTCCTGATGGGATCCATCCTTGGGTCCTGAGGGCACTGGCAGTTGTGTAGTTTTGTTGATGAATGGTTAAAGGATGAGAGCTCCAGTGGCTTAACGTTCCAGTTTCATCAGTCTTGAATAGAAACTCTGGAATGGAGTGGTCACCTGCTAATACTCATACATGTTTTCATAGCAGAAGTCCTCAAATTGTGCAGAACGCAGATTTCACCTTCTGGTGACACACTCACGTGTTGTTCTGCCGTTACCTGCAGGCCATGACGTTTAACCAGGTGATCCAGACGGGCCCTGACGAAGAGGGCAGTGATGACAAGGCAGTGACAGCAATGGGAATCTTGAATACTATCGATACACTTCTCAGTGTAGTTGAAGATCACAAGGAAGTAAGTAAAAATTACTTCAAAGCTGATGTATGTTGTCTGAGACACTGAGTCTTTCATAGCTCCAGTGTTCCTGGCAGTTTTCTGAAAAACTGTCCTTTGAGTCAAAAAGATCTTGAGACAGAAAGTAGTGAGGTACTGAATATGCAAGAGAGTTGTAACAGACTGGGTCATATTTCTTCTAATGCAATGCATGCAGTAATACATTGTGGGATTTTAGTGACAAGACTTCAGCAATAAACTTCTCTCAGGGCTCTGAAGAGTTTCCTAAGAAAGCAGCATAATACGAGTTCCCGAGGACAGAATCCAGTGCTGCCATACAGTAAGCCAAGCACCAGTTCAGCTCACTGACTTGCTCGTAAGGCTGCTCAGGTTTTCATGTGCCTGATTCGTCACAAAGCCTTGCCATCGAAATGAGAAGTTTGTGTAGCAGTATGCTGGTCCTGAGGAAGGCAGTGTTAAGATGTTGATCAGTAAACATTTATATTTAGAGACATCTCACACAGGATGAGCAGTGTTCCAAGGGATAAGGTATTTAGCAGGTTAGTTTCAAATCCTGTTCTGCATAGCTAAGACCAGAAACTCAACCCTTATTTGTCACTGTGCAAGGTAAGTGCCCTCAACTGGTTAATGACCCTTTTGTTGGCTGTTCCATAGACTAGCAAATACTGACTGGGAAGGGTGTTTGAATCTAGGACCAGCATCAGACTGATCCCACACCATGTGAACATCCCAAGTTAGGTTTGGGATTTGGTTCTGGTTTTTTGTAAGTCTCCTTTTATTTTTTTTCAGATTACCCAGCAGCTGGAAGGGATCTGTTTGCAAGTGATTGGAACAGTTTTGCAGCAGCATGTATTAGGTATCTGTACTTCCGTTGGCTTGTTTTTGGAAGTGTATGGGATTGGCATTATATTTACCTGTATTCTGTTTGGTTTAGAGTTCTACGAGGAGATCTTTTCCTTGGCTCACAGTCTGACCTGCCAACAGGTTTCTGCACAAATGTGGCAGCTTCTTTTTTTCAGGATGGTTTTGATTATTTTACTGGTAAGTAATACAGATAAATCAGGAAGCCAAATGGTTTCATAGATGTGATTTCAGTCACACAAGGAATTGCATTCTGACTGGAATGTCAGGAGAACACTGAAGTGAGGTTACACTTGAAGTATTTTATTCTGCTGTTGCTGTAACCAGGCTTGTTTTGTTAGGGCATCTGACTAGATGTGACTCACCTTGACAAACACTAAGCAAGAAGTGCAATTAAATTATGAATAGATAGATTTCAACCTGATTTTAACAGAATGCAAGCAATGTCTAACTGTGATCATTCTTCTCTTAATACAGACATGATGCCTCTCTTGCATAATTATGTAACTGTTGATACAGATACACTTCTGTCAGACACAAAATATCTTGAAATGATCTACAGCATGTGCAAGAAGGTGAGTAGATTCCTTTGTGGTAACACAGCCTGGGACCTCTGAAGTAATACAGTGTTAAACTGGGAGCTCCTTGCCACAACAGCAGACTGTGAAGGATTTTGACATCTGCTCTAAAAGCATTTTGCTGTCTAGCATCCTCTGTGATTTCACAAATTACTAAGTTATTGCAGTGAAATCTAAAGAGGTTGCATTAAAATTTCAGGTATAAGCCTTTACTAAAAGGGATAAATCATACACAGCAAAGGCAGGTTAAGCAAACCAGGTTTTTGTGCACGGGTGTTTTTTGTGCGGTACAGTGTGCATACAGGCATGCACCACGTATTGCAGAAGGCACTAAACAAGGTTTCTTTGGTCTGGGATTTGTGGCATCACTGTGGCTAGGGTACCACATGCAGTGCAGATGCTGAGGGTCTGAAATCCATTAGCTAAACACGTGGAGTTGGGATCCAACGGACGAAAAGTAAAGGGGTAGGAATAGGAAGTTATTTGCCCAAGTGCGTGCCAAGTGAATGAAAGCTGGGGGCAGAATGTGCTAGCTGGGACTCAGTCCAGGCACTTTTGGGCAGTGTTTGTGTATTTGACTTCACCTCAGCCCCTGCACGTTACAGGTAGCTGGCAGCTGGGCTGTCTTTGTCCAGTCAACATGTAGACCACATCCTTCCAGAGTCACAGAATGTTAGGGGTTGGAATGGAGCTTAGAGATGATCCAGCCCCAAGCCCTGCCCTGGGCAGGGACACCTCCCACCAGAGCAGGTTGCTCAAGGCTCATCCAACCTGGCTGTGAACACTGCCAGGGTTGGGGCAGTCACAGCCTCCCTGGGCAACCTGGGACAGGGTCTCACCACCCTCACTGGGAAATGCTTTTTTTCTGATATCTAACCTAAACTTCCCTTTAGTTTGAACCCGGTACCCCTTGTCCTGTCACTGCAATTCCCAATACAGAGTCCCTCTCTAGCTCTTTCTGGGCCCTTCAGATACTGAAAAGTTGCTCTGAGGTCTAGTTATTAGAATTCAGAACTATCAGTGTTAGCCTTATGTGAGTAAATAAATACTTTGTTAGAATTTTTTCTGATATCTAACCTAAACTTCCCTTTAGTTTGAACCCGGTACCCCTTGTCCTGTCACTGCAATTCCCAATACAGAGTCCCTCTCTAGCTCTTTCTGGGCCCTTCAGATACTGAAAAGTTGCTCTGAGGTCTAGTTATTAGAATTCAGAACTATCAGTGTTAGCCTTATGTGAGTAAATAAATACTTTGTTAGAAGATTAACATTTT